CACCTCTGCAGGTAACTTTATGATCTGATAGAGTTTAAAACTGATAGGAAAGCTGCAATAAGAGTACCTACATAATACCAGACTTACGGACATCATGTCAGTCTTGACTCAGTACCCACCTGGCACAGGACACTTGCTCCTCAGGGCGTCTGGGACAGTCACACGCCATGGGAGCAGTCTGCTGCCTCACCTTCCTCCCTCAAGACTAGGTATCCTGGAAGCAGTTTCTGCACTTTTTTCCCCACTGGCTTTATCATTCTCTCCCGTTTGCTATGATTTTTTTTCTGAATCACTTGAGAGTAAGCTGGCGCTATCACACCACTTGACTGCTAATATAGTTCAGGCTGTACAGCTTAAAGCCATTCCCTTAGAAACCCAACCCAAACCCACGGCCATCAAGTCCATTTCAGCCCCAAAGGCCAGAGAAGAACCTCCCCTTTGGGGCTTTCTGAGACTAACTCTTTTGGGGAGTAGGACAGCCTCATCTTTCTATAGCATAGCTGATGGATTTGAACCATCAACCTTGTGGTTTGTGTAACCCACCACATTACCAAGTTGCTTTTAGGCTCCTTCCCATCCTACTGCCATTGGGTCAATGCCATTGATTTTGTACAGGGATTCCGAGGCCTTAAGTCTTTACAGGATCAGATAGCTTCATCCGTCTCCCTCAGAATGGCTGGTGGTTTTGAACTTGGGGGTTGCTTAGCCCACTACACCTTCAGGGGTCCTTGGAGGAGGCAAGAGTGACTTTAGAAGTGAGGCCTGGAGCTGTGAAGGAGCAAGGAGCGATGTGGGACGGGGTCATCTACTTTGGCACTGGCTTTTGGGTTGGGGATGGGAACAGAGAGTGAGTGGTGACAATAAAGAAAGGCTGGCACCTTTCTGTGTGTTCCGAGGGCATTTAGTCCTATTTCTAGGGGCCTAGTATTTATCACCGACATGGCAACCCTTACCAACATGTCCACACTGCCCACATCTTTTATTTTTTGGGCTGTTTTCCTGGTCACTATAGTGACCAGTGGCTCTAGGTGGTGGTAACCAGTAGCATCCCTCATCAGGCATTTTTCTTTCTTTTTCCTGCTTTTGGTCTTTAGAGAGGGATGGCTAATAGGGAAGGAGCCCTGAAGCAAGGAGCCAGGTATGTGGCACTCTCCCAGACAGAGTGATTTTCTCCTAGTATATAATTACCTTCCTAGAATTCATTTTCTTTTAAGGTAGGGAAGGAAAAGATGAGATATGAAAAAAATTATATTGAAAACACCTTGTAGGGTAAAGTTTCCATGTGTTGTCCTTCCTGATTTTTTTTTCTTCTTCATTCTTCTTCTTCAGGTTTCTTGCTCTTTAAAGATTTTTGTTTGAATGAAATTAATGAAGCGGTACCTCAGGTGAAGTTTTATGAAGAGGTAAGAAGTTTACCAATGCTTTTCACCCCCAAAGCATATTTAGATTGTGCTTTGAACAATATCAAGACCACCGATGCCATTTTTCAAATTCACTAGGGGAAGAGAGTCATGCAAGGGACGATATTTAATTTATCAGACATGTTATCAGACTCCATTAAAAAATAAAAACA